GTGCGGCGGTTGGCAAAGGCTGGCATGGACACTAACTCGAAGGGAGCCAAGACCTACACCGCAAGGCTTGACGATCGGATTCTTTGGGACCTTCATGAGGACAGAGATGTCCACAACGAGATGTGGCAGATCCCTGTGGTCTCAATACCTAAGGAGAGGCAAGTGGCAGCAAGCATCAGCACTAAAGGTGGAGCGGTTGGTAGCGGCGATTGCGCGGACGGTCGCGCTAAGGAGAAGGAGTCCAAGAAGTGCAATCTTGGAGGGACCAGCAAGCTTGGTGAACCTATGGAGAGAGGTGCAGCAGCCAAGGAGCAGCAAAAGGGTGAGGAGAACCCCGAGGCAGCAGCGGAGGAGGACTACGGAGAGAGTAGGTGGGGCGCTATTGCGAGCGCGGCATTCTCCAATCCAACTTCGGCTACGGGGGAGTGTGATTGGCTCACCTTGCATCGGCGCATGGGGCATGTGGCCCTGCCCATCTTGCAGCAGCTAGTGAAGATTTAGATGGTTGCTGGCATACGTGTGAAGGGGGAGCCTGATGAGGTACTTAGCTGCCCGACGTGCATGCAAGCCAAGTTCACCCGATTCCCGCTCTCTAGTTCGGAGGCAACGGCTAAGGCACCACTTGATGAGGTGGTGATGGACGTGGTGGGCCCCCTGAAGCTTGGAGCAACTGGAGCTGAGTAATTCCTCACTATTGTGGACGTCTACACACGTATGACTTGGGTGTACTTGCTGGCCAAGAAGAGCGACGTGGCTGAAACGTTGAAGGCAGATTGGTTCCCGATGGTGGAGCGGCAACAAGACCGTCTAGTCAAGTCAATCCGCACCGATCGAGGGGGAGAGTTCCTGAGCAAGGAGTTTGGGTTGTGGCTGAAGAAGAATGGTATTCGGCACTCCCTCACCATGCCATACTCCCCTGCAATGAACGGCATCGCTGAGCGAGCGAACCGCACAATCACGGAGGCGGCACGCGGGTTGCTCATTGAAGATGGGCTACCCGACTATTTCTGGCCTGATGCGGTGCGGAGCGCATGTGTGGCCAAGAACAGAGCCTTGACTCATGTGGGAGCAGACAAATGGGTGCCCTATGTGGAGTGGCTAGGAAGGAGGCCAAAGGTGGATATGCTTCGGGTGTTCGGGTGCATGTGCATGGCGCTCGTGCCTAAGCATCTTCGGCACAACAAGCTTGGTGCAAAGGTGGTGTGGGCCGTGCACTTGGGCAGGGCTCAAAACAGCAAGGGATGGCTTCTTTGGGACCCATTCACCAAGAAGTTCTTGGTGAGCAGGGACTGCAAGTTCATGGAGAACTTTATGTACAAGGATTGGAAGGCGGAGAATGAGGAGATAGGCGTGCGGTTTGGGGAGGTGAAGAGTTCCGGTTTGGAGCATGTGGAGCTGCCTTTGGAGCTGAGCAGCGGCAGCACCACCACAAGGCAATCCTCCCTTGTGAATGCGGGAGAGGAGGCCAATGATGCAGAGCAAGAAGAGGAGGAGGTGCAGCAAGTGAGCGAGCGTGCACCGTCACTCCCTTTCCGTACTACGAGTGCTCCACGGATTCGAGCCACACCGCAGCAATGCCAAGGCCTTCAAGTCCCTGCAGCTGAGGAGGAAGGAAGGGGGAAGAGGAGAGTTCAACCCCCTAATAGGCTGACCTATGATGCGCTGGGAAAGCAAGGCAAGGCAGCCCTGGCCGGAGCGGCAATGATGGTCGGAGACGACGAGGAGAGTGACTACGAGGAGTGTGCCTTCGCGTTCTTCTCTCCGATGGAGATGCCGGGAGAACCAGCAACTCTCAAGGAGGCTTTGGAGAGTAGTGATGCTGAGGAGTGGAAGAAGGCCATGGAGAGTGAGCTGAAGAGCATCGAGGAGAAGGGGCGTATGGCGATAACGGCATCGAGCATCGAATTGGTGCGAGCATCCGGAGGGGCGTACGACGATAACGTCCAAGTGGCTCTTCAAAATCAAGCATTGAATTGGTGGAGCTACCGGAGGGGCGTACGGCGATAACGTCCAAGTGGCTCTTCAAAATCAAGTCGGATGCCGACGGCAAGATCGAGCGCTACAAGTCTAGGCTTGTAGCCAAGGGGTACCAGCAGAAGGAGAAAGTTGACTTCAAGGAGCTGTTTGCCCCTGTAGTGAAGCCGACGACGCTGCGAACCCTATTCGCGGGAGCCGCCATCAAAGGATGGGTAGTAAAACAAATGGACATCGTAACGGCATCCTTGAGGAGGAGATTTTTATGGCGCAGCCAGAGGGGTTTGATGATGATAGTGGCAGAGTGTGGAAGCTGAAAAAGGCCCTCTATGGGCTGAAGCAGGCCCCTAGGCAATGGTATATGAAGCTGCGCGAAGTGTTGGAGGAGATCGGCTTCACTCCCTCAACAGCCGATCACTCCTTGTTCATGCTTGGCGAGGGGGAGCAGAGGAGCTTCATGGTGGTGTACGTGGACGACATCCTGATCTTCTCACCCTCTCCTGACCTTGTGAAGGAGGTGATGCTGAAGCTGCAAGACAAGTTCAAGTGCAAGTCCCTTGGTGACGTGAACTTCTACCTTGGGCTCCACATCGAGCGAGTCGTGGAGAAGCGGAGCATGCGAGTGCACCAACGGAAGTACCTGGAGGCATTGGCTGCCAACTTCGGCCAGAGTGAAGGTCATGTGGCTACTCCCTTTCCCTCTGGGTTCAAGTGTGTGAAGGGGCCAGAGGAGGAGAGCGTTGGAGAAGAGGAGAGGCGCCAATTTCACTCGTTGGTGGGCAACCTCATGTATGCGGCGGTAAACACCCGACCGGACGTCGTGTTTGCTGCCGGGCAGCTAGCTAGGGTTGTGCAATGCCCTAATGAGGAGCAGGTAGCAGCTGGAATGAGGGTGACCAAGTATCTTGGCCAAACACTGACCGTTGGGCTGCAATACTCGGCGGCGGCACAAAGGCGCCAAAAGGGCGCGGATGGTGTTGAGCCCGGGCGTTTGTTCCTCACCGCCTACTCGGATGCTTCATATGCACCAGAACCAGAGGACATGACAAGTGTGGGAGGCTTCATATGCTGTGTTGGTGGAGGCCCAACTGCTTAGGAGAGCAAGAAGCAGGTTGACCAAGCTTTGAGCTCGGTGGAGTCCGAGTACATGGCACTCTTCCGTGCCGTACGGGAGATTGTGTGGCAGCGGCGTTTGTTGGCTGAATTGGGGGAGGAGCATCAAGGACCTACCCCACTGTATTGCGACAGCCAGGGTGCCATTTCGCTTGCTAAGAACCCTGTGTTGCATGGACTCACGAAGCACATGAGGGTGAAGTGGCATTGGACGAGGAGCATGGTAACCGCGGGTGAAGTTGAGTTGCGCTACGTGAAGACCACGGGGCAACCGGCTGACATGATGACCAAGAGGCTGATGAAGCAGCAGCATTGGAAGTGTTGCAAGCTGGCTGGGATGGCTCTGAACTGAGAGAGCAACATATCCTAAGGCCAACAATCCGAGGGAGAGTTTGTTGGTGCAACCCTATGGTTTGCACTCGGCTTGTTGTCCGTGTGCGTGCATGTGTGTGTGTGTATGGAATGGTATGAGGGCATGGGATAATACATATTTCATGCTTATAATTGTATGTGAATGTTGAGTCATGATGTCGAGTGTATGTGTCGAGTCAATAGCGAGTAATCGCTAGACGCGTGTTACGCGGTCGTTTGTGTTTCGCACGCGGTTTCTATTTTGTCGTGTGCGGTTTCTATTTTGTCCTGTGTCGAACGTTCGGTGTGTCGCAGGTGTGTGCAGCAGACCCATCAAGAACTCAAGGATGAGTTTGTAATGAAGAGCCCGAGCCTTGGTGTTAAGCCTCAAGTGATTTCGAAGCTCGCCAAAAAGGGTACGCCTCAAGATATTGAAGATAGTTACATTACTTTGTGTAGTGTAACATTTCACTTGGTGTAGGCCCTAGTGAAGAGTAGTTTTGAGACCCTTCGAGGTTGGGGACAGTGTGGCACTATTGCACATCACTGTACCTCAGCTCTTGGGGTTTGTAGGAGCTGGGAGTCATTCCCAACTCATAACTCTTCCTAACTCTTCCTATCTTGTGTTTTAAGACTATAGTGGTTGCCACGGCAACCCCAAGCCGCCCCATCTAGCCCGCCACATACCGGGAATGGGTTTGTCTCCTGCAACACTAGCACTCGTGCCTTGTCCACTGCACTCATCAGCGGCGGGGTACCAGCCATAGGCACGGCTGCGGAACCCCCGGCATAACTGGCAGGTACTCCACGACGCAAGCCGAGCTGAACAAACATGGTGTACATCTCCGACCGCAGCACCTAGAACTCCTCCCGTGTAACAAACTGCTCGTGCTCCGCACTTTTACATAGGGCACCCATGAGCGGAGGAAAAGGGTGTGAATAATCCCCCCTCTGGCCAAGGGGATCAACGTCTTCTGCAGCCGTCCTATGTGCCCTTACACTATCACGCTGGCGTGTAGAACCGTGGGGCTTCTGTGGATAGCAGTGTAACACTCGCTCTCCCAGCCCCCTTCGTTAGCTGCATCCGTTGCACACTTACCGGCGGCCCAATGTCTGTAACGCGAGGGGCTGAGATTTAGGGGGAGCAGGATAAAAAAATTAGAGTCGATTAGTTTCAATACAGGGGTACACATGCATACGTAAGATCAACGATTTGAGTCTAAATCGGGTTTAGCAGGGTAATGTTTTGTAACAAGATGCTTTACCTTGATTACAAGATTCGTCGACCTTCTCCTTCCCTGCAGGGAAGAAACAATGTGGAGAATGGTGTTATTTGGCACGGTTGAGCAGAGAGAACAACCACCAAGCCATGTGTATTGGCCACAGTGCTCACCTTTCTGCTGTCCCTTTGGTTTTTTTGTTGCCTGCACCTTGTTGTTGCCACCTTTCCGCGGGGTGCTTTGGCGGCCGCTGCGACGTTTACCGACGGGTTCTTTCTTGCCGGTACCCACTGGAACTCCTTTGACACGGCCACCCTTTCCTTCTCCATCCCCTTTTGCTCCCTAGCTCCCTTGCTTTTTACCACCCCCTTCACTTTCGCCCTTCACCTTACGCGCCTTTGATTTGCCCGCTGCTTTGCCGCGCGGGGCGTTAACTGCCCCGCGTTTTCGGGAATGGCGAGTCCGGCCCCCCACCTTCCCTGTACCACTCACCCGTCTGCCTCGCCCACCCCGTCCCTTCATTGCCGCCACATCCTCCTCCTCCTCCTCCTCCTCCTCCTCCTCCTCCTCCTCCTCCTCCTCCTCCTCCTTCTCCTCCTCCTCTGCCTCCTCCTCCTCCTCCTCCTCCTCCTCCTCCTCCTCCTCCTCCTCCTCCTCCTCCTCCTCCTTCTCGGCCTCCTCCTCCTCCTCCTCCTCCTCCTCCACCTCCTCCTCCTCCTCCTCCTCCTCCTCCTCCTCCTCCTCCTCCTCCTCCTCCTCATCCTCCTCATCCTCCTCCTCGTCCTCCACCCCCCCCTCCTCCTCCTCCTCCTCCTCCTCCTCCTCCTCCTCCTCCTCCTCCTCCTCCTCCTCCTCCTCCTCCTCCTCCTCTGCTTCCTCCTCCTCCTCCTCCTCCTCCTCCTCCTCTTCCTCCTCATCCTCCTCCTTGTCCTCCCCCCCCCCCCCTCCTCCTCCTCCTTCTCCTCCTCCTCCTCCTCCTCCTCCTATCAAATGTTATATCTGCTATATATGTTTAGGCTATAGTGGGGTAGCCAATATGGGGTACAGCCCACTTTAGGGTTTCATATTTGTACCCAACTCTTTCATAGTTCAATCATTCCTACTACTAGATTCTAACATGGTATCAGAGCACTAGGTCCGTAGGACCGTCTTTTTTTCGGGCCCACCTACCGTTGCAGTTACCGCGCTACCCCATGTGTTGTACTGCACCTGCTTGCCTGCCTGCCTGCCCTGCCTTGTGACGTGCTGCGCTGCGCGCGCCGTCCTGCAGCCCTCGCGCTGCCTCTTGCTGCCCTAGGCCAGCGCGCCGCCCCTGGACCTCGTGCAGGTGCCCGCCGAGCGCCGGCCTTGCTCGCCCGGCGAGCGTCTGCTCTTCCCGCCATTGGTGAGCACCTGCCTTGTTAGCGCACTGCCTGCCTGCCAGCCTGCCTGCCTACCTGCCAGCCTGCCTGCCTTTCTGCCTGCGTGCCTGCCTGCCTGCCTACCTGCTTACCGTGCCTGCCCTACCCGCACTACTATTGCTACTACTGCCACTACCACTGCTACTGCTGCTATTGGCGGTGGCTAGATGTAGCTCCAGCGACGTCCGCGCGAGTCTCTCACGCCCCAGCAGCTTCGTGAGTGGTACGCTAGTTGGGTTTGTGCCGGTAGCCGTCGTGACTGGCGCCCTGGAGCTGGTCGGTCGGGAGTGTCTGGCAGTGGCCAGCTGCAGCTGCAGCGGCGTCCGCATGAGACACTTGCGCCCCAGCAGCTTCGTGAGTGGTACGCTCAGAGTAGAGGGTCTTTGAGTATCGTTCGCTGCCCGTACGTCATTCGCACATGTGATCGGACTGGTCAGGCTTGCGGGATGCTTAGTCACACACAGTCCTGCTGCTTCGCTTGTCTGAGCGACGCCTCGCGTACCGAGTTTGGCGATGAGGCTGAGCTCCCCAACTGGGTGGAGCTGCTTGGGCACAGGGTAGATATATTTGCTCTTGACTATGATGCTATTCTCACTGCCATGTATGCATTGCCTACTAGTGCTGACCGTGCCTTTTACCTGTGCGTACCGCCTGACCCAGGTATAGAGCCTGCTGCTCTCGGTGCTGGTGAGGCTAGCTGTTCGTGCAACTTGGTGGCGTGTTCAGTGCTCCAGATGCGGGTTTTCACTAGTTCACCCCTGCCTACGAGCGTGTGACACACTGCACGTGTGCTCAGACGGGTCGTTACCTGGCTACCTTCAGTCGGCAACCGGGGTCGGGCCGGTACACACTGACCACTGAGTCCCCTCAGGTAGCTGCGTCTGCGTCTACGTCAGGTCAGTTGTCAGGCCCCTGCTCGTGTCGCGCCTGGTCGCACCAGACCCTCCTTTGGCACCACCGCCTTGGTCACCCCTCGGTGCAGCGTCTTCGCAGCATGCACCGCAGTGTCCTTATCTCTGGTCTTCCCAGGGTTCTTCCTCCCCTCCAGCCCTCGCCTGCTCCTCCCTGTCTTCCCTGTGTCGAGGGGCGGCAGCGTGCCGCTCCTCACTCCTCCTCGTTCCCTCCCACAGAGGCTCCCCTGCAGACTCTCCACCTGGACGTGTGGGGCCCAGCCCGCGTCCGTGGACCGGGCCACAAGCGGTACTTCCTGCTGGTCGTCGACGACTACACGCGTTACACCACGGTCTTCCCATTGCATTGCAAGGGAGATGTCCTTGGTATTTTGATCCCCTAAATCCGCGCTGTTTGTCTCCTACTCCCCGAGCAGTTCAAGTCCGACTTTCCCGTCCTGCGTTTGCACTCTGAGAGAGGTGGTGAGTTCTTCTCAGACCTCTTTGCAGCCTTCTGTGCGGAGCACGGCATCCGCCAGACGTTCACGCTTCCGGCCTCTCTGCAGCAGAATGGGGTTGCTGAATGCTGCATTGGCTTAGTCATGGAGGTTGCTCGTACCTCCATGATCCGTGCGACTGCCCCCCATTTTCTGTGGCTGTTTGCGGTTCGGTACGCCGCGCATCAGCTCAACCTCTGCCCCGTGTGTCCTTGCCGGAGACCTCGCCCACACTGCTGTGGACGGGGAAGGTTGGCGATGCGTCGCGTTTCTGGGTCTGGGGTGCTCGTGCCTTTGTCCACGATACCACCGCGGACAAGCTCTTCGCCCGCGCTGTTCCCTGTGTCTTTGTCCTTGACGCGCCTGTTTGGCAGTTTTACCACCCCACCTCGCCCTGTGTCTTCCCCTCTCAGGACGTCACGTTCGACGAGTCGGTTCCCTTTTACTGTCTCTTCCCCTACCGCACTGCCCCTCTCCCCCCCCCCGCTGCTCTTGTCAGAGTTCTTGAGGGTAATCCTAAAGATCACTGACAAAAAAGGGGAGGCTGTAGAGAGGCAAGGAGGAAACAAGGTGTACATTTGTATTTAGTCGAGGAGGCGGTTAACGGGGTGCAGAAGCGACAGCAGGAAGGGGTGGGCAGCTCGGCATTGGCAGGCAGCGGGTTAAGTCTGGGACGAACCTGTGGCGGGCCTGGAGAAGGGATGGCGAGCTTACGTGGCGGAAGTGGGGGTGAATGGGGTTTGCTGGGATGCATGTGTTTGTTTCTTGCTTGTGTGCAGACACCGAGTCCAGGGGAGCTGGAAGTCACACCCGCCAGCTGGAGGAAGGCAGGATAACTGCAAGGGTGGCGAAGCTCGGCTGCTAGCACTAATCTGTTGGTAGCCATGCTTAGCTAGAGAAGGGTGGGTGCAATAATAGAGGTTCCTGGGCCATGGGACTGCTACTGCGTGTTTGTTTTCGCAATATACTGTGATTTCTTCTCAAGATAAGCAGTCTCATAGTGAAGCCATTTCCGCAGTCTAGATGGGTTAGGGAGGGAACTTAGCACAAACACGCAGTCCGAATGCGATTGCAGTCAGGACGGTTGGTAGAAGTAGTCAGAGCAACGCAAGGACAGGACGAGACGATGATGGGAGGAGACGGGAATCAGCGGGTTCTCCTTACTGGGCAAGGTAAGGACGGTCTCAGTCTTCACCGCCTTGAGGAGGGCCTTGAATGCCCCTTGTTCTTCCTCTCCCCATTGCCACGCCTGATCCTCTCGCAACAACCTGTTCAGAACTGAGGCGGTGCGGCTGAAGTTGGGTACGAACTTCCTGTAGTAGTTCAGGAAGCCCAATACTGCCCTCAGTGTGCTGCGGTCCTTAAGAGCGGGGACTCGATCCAGCACCTCTACCTTAGCCTGCTGGATGCTCAGCTGCCCCCCTTGTACTTCAAAGCCCAGGTACTTCACCCTGCTGTTCCCGAAGCTGCATTTCTTCGGGTGGCATGTCAGCCCGGCTGCTTGAATGGCGTCCAACATGTCGCTCACGTCCTTCACGTGTTGCTCAGCTGATGCACTGAACACGACTACATCATAGATGTAGCAGGCTGCCGCTGGTACATTCCTCAGCACAGAGTCCATCACCCGTTGGAATAGTGCTGGCGCGTTCTTCATGCCGAAGGGCATGAAATTCCACTCGTATAGCCCATCGGGCCCGTGAAAGGCCGTCTTCTTCCGGTCCTCCTCCTTGATCGGTATTTGATTAAACCCCTGCCGGAGGTCCAGCGTACTGAACACCACTGCTCCTTGCAGCCGATCGAATATCTCTTCCGCCGATTGCATGGGATACCTGTCTGCCACTGTCACTCTATTAAGCCCTCGGTAGTCCCCACACATTCTCCTTGCCGACACTTCCCCAGTGAGATCCTTCCGCGCAACTACCACTGCCGCCGCTGCGTAAACAATGTCAGAAAGCTGAATGAGGCCTGCCGCTAACAGCTCCGCGCATTTCTCCCTGCAGATGTCCAAGTCGCCTGGGCTCATTCTCCGTTTCCTCTGGTATTTAGGCATCTCGGTATTCAGCTTCACCTGCATTTGGTGAGAGTTGCATTGCCCTAGCTCGGCTAACGTGTAGGCGAACATCTTGCGGTGCTGCTTCAGCACTTCCTGTAATGCCTGTGCCGCCTCTGCCCCCATTCCGGAGCCTATGGGCCAAGCGTCCTCTGGTCCCCTCTCCTGGCTTGGCTTCTCCACCGTAACACTATTCTCCCCGTCTGGCGGCAGTATCTCTTGGTCGGCAGACCCGCTCCCCGCTTCCACTGCCATGTAGGCCCATCCTTCCAGGATGCGGGCTTCTTGTTGCTCCTCTATGGCTCTCTGTTGGCGCTTCTGCTGCTCCGCCTCCTCCTCCTCCTGGTACAGCTGGCTGACTTCTATGCCGCGTTGGAGCTCCTTCCGCTTTAGATGCATGCGAATGGTCTCCACTAGCCACGCCATGACGTTCAGATCCACGGCCCTACCCAGCGCCGCCCTCCTTTGAGGCTCCGTCACTCGGGGGTGCGCGGTACCTCCCAGCAGATGTCTCATGGCTAACTCCCGCTCCTCTGCCGTTGGTTGCTCCCACCTCTTTCCGATGACGTCGTAGATCATCCCGGGCCCAGGCAGGTCTCCCTCCATCACGAATCCGTAGGCGTCCACGTATGACACGAGTGTCAGTAGCGCCTGTCTCGGCTTCCCCGGCACATTACATTGGTACTGGGATGGGTGATCCGGCACTGAGATAGGCGCTGGCAGACGGTTGGGGCCCAGAATGTCACTGACCAGCCTTGGTTCCGGCCGCTGCATCTGAGCCAGAGAGTGCTGTAAACTTGCTTCTGAGATCCCGTTCTGCCAATACCTCCTGGGCCGGTGCACTCTGGAACCCAGCTGCAACGCGTCAACCGCTTGCCCCCGGCCGACGGCGGTTTCTACTTCAGCGAACGCCCTTCGCACGTGCTCCCTGCGATCGTCTGCAGAATCCACATTCTCTAGGATGTATAACACTTCTCCCTGCTTCGCCTGAACCATCCCCAGTACCCGCTTTAAATCCCTGAAGGAGGCACCGCAGATTTCTTCCATTCCCATCCCCTCTCCTGCCCGAGAATAACACTGACATTCCCATCCAGCAATGATGACATCAATTTTCCCCCACTTCTCCAGTGTCTCCTCCGTGATATCCCTTACATCGTCCACCCCCTCCTCGTCTTTAGCGGGTAGGGCGGACTCGGCTAGCTGATCGGGATATTCGGCTAGCAGCAGCCGGGCGTGATGCTGGGCCATCCGGCGCACCACTGGATCTCTCTTGACGTGAATCCACTTCCGCACCCTGCAACCCGCCCGCAACACCGCTGCCAGTCCCGTGCCTATGCCACCGTACAGCTCAATGATGCACACCGCTCCTTCCTAGGTCCAGAGCCGGGTCACTCTTTCTTTCAGCGAGGTCGGTTCTCGCCCCTGCCTCCTCCTTTCTATTCGCCGTTTGTACTCCTCCGCGTATCTCTCCCAGCTCCAGTCGTCCAGCACTGGTCCCAGGTCTGCTGCCCGAGCCCCGTAGGCCTCCCGCGGCTCTTGCTTAACGAACTTCACAGGCAGAGTACCCACGGAACTTTCTGCGTCCTAGTAGTGCACGCGGTACAACACCTTCTCCTGCCAGGTAAAAATGGTGGCGCCAACCCGGTAAAGCATATCCATGCCGACCAGCGTATCATAATCTTCGGACTCTGAGACGCCACATGTCACGCGGATGCAGCATTCTTTGTCCGTGCCGGGGAGCAGTATAATCTCGATGGGCCGTACCGTCCGCGGCATCCATTTTGGCTCCCCTCCCTCGGCGGTCATGAGTAGGATACCTCTCTGCATGAGCCTCCCAGGCATGTCCAGCTTCAGATGCCGCGCCAGTCCCTTCCCGATCAACACGTGGTGAGCACCGGTGTCAATGATTGCTTGCCCCACTGGCAGCCCACCCACGGTCATGCTCCCCTTTTCGGCTATCAAGACGGAGGCCTGGCACACGAGTCTCTCGTTGGGGTGGCGCCTCAGTTCGGAGGTACTACTCCCCTCATGCACGTTGCCTCGTGGCTCTCTCACACTGCTCACGCGACTTTCGGACGACTGGCTCCCTCGGAGCCGGAGGTCGAGGTCCTCTCTCTCTCCCGTGGTAACGCCATAAAGCCGCTTGCCTGCAGATACTCGCCTTCACTTTCTTCCTCCCCTTCGACCTCCTCGTACGCAAGCATAGCTCGGGCTTTCGGCTCCACTTTAGGCTTCGCCTCCAATCGCAGTTGTAACCTATTAATCTCCGCCTGTAGCTCTTCTTTGCTGGGGGTCTCCTTGGAGCGGCGCCGGCCATAACATGCGTCGTCCTTGTGCCCTTTCCGTCCGCAGTTTCCACACACTGGCAGCTTAGGGCACTCGCGTTTCAAATGGCCCAATTCCCCACATTCGTGACACCGCCGTGCGTCCGCCCGCGGTGGTCCACCGAGAGGCGCCTCCACCAGAGCAGCCGCCGCCCACGACGACTTCGCTTTGGGACGCACTTCCCCGTCTTCCAGGTCCAACATCCTCTGCGTGTGCTCCGTCCGTTTAGCCAATCCGTCTACTTCCTTCAGAGTAATATCTGCACCCACGGCGTACACCGTGTTTCGCACCACATTCGGCAGATCTTTGTCTAAGCCTCGGATGAACTTGCGAACTAGTAGCCGTTCATCACGGCTCTCCAAATCGTCCACAAGCTCCCTCAGTCGGCAGTAGTAGGCTAGTAGGGACTCGTCTTTTCCTCGGCAGAACTCGCGGAATTCCTCCACTCTCGATTTAGTTTGCCCCAGAAAATCCTTCTTCAGCAGCTCGACAAACCGCGCTGTTGGGTTTTCAACCTCTCCACAAGCCAGCTCTTCGAGCACTTCGTCCCGCGTCATGCGGTAAAAGGTCTCCGCTTTGCCGGGCAACGTTACCACCATTCGCCGGAAGAACTCTGCCGGGTCCAGCCCGTCCCGTTCCCAACAGTATTGCACCGTCTCCAACTGCATCAGATAGTTCTTCAGGGTGGGACCCACGCCGGGAATTCCAGTGAACCGCTCGGCTACCTCAAGCTTTGGAAGGGACCCCGTCTGCCATCTCTTGTCGGTAGGTCGGTCTGGTGGGGCGGCTGCCGAGGGTAGCTCCGCAGCCTGACTCGCCATAATCTCTCGATGCATCGACGTCCGGAACTCTCCCTCCGTCTGGCGACGCAGCCAAGTCGTAGGTGCTTGCGCTCGGTCGGATTCCATCCCAGGCATCAACCCAGAGGAGTTAGTAGCTGGGCGGCTCTCCCACTGCGCACTCGCTTCCCGAGCCCAACGCAAGTCATGAGGCGTCTCTCCTGGATCTGACGCGACAGTTCGAGAAGGCTCCATGTCTTCGCGCTGCCCCCGCTCTCGTTGGTGCGGGGTCCGGTACACTCCTGTAGTCGAAGCTGGCGAGCGCCCTGTCTCCACCGCTGGCACTCGGTCCGAAGAGGTCGCCGCGGCAGCGCGCCAGCTTGGTTTAGCGGAAATATCTTCTCGTCGATAGCTCTGCCTGGATCTTAGTCTAAATCTATCGTTCATTCTAGCTCGAGAAATGGCGACAAGTCGCAGTCCTTGCTTGTATGTTGTGTATTCCTAGCACGTTGACTCTCTCCAGGCCAACCTAACTCGGCTGGCTGCCGGATGGCACTGAGTGAAAACCCTTAAAAGGCTTGTTGCGATTGGTTCCTCCACTTGGCGCAGTACGAGTAGTGTCTTAGGTAGCTCCTTGCTAATAGAGGAAACATACAAGCAAGCAACTGATGCTTCTCGTGTTGCTTGCCTAAGTACATGCACTTGGTTACTGTTGCTTTGCAATGGTTGGTTTGGTTTCGCCAGTTCGACTTAGCTTCCCGCTCTGGCGCTATTCGCCTCTGGCCTACCTCGCTTTAATCCTACTCAGTACAGTACCCTTTCATGCTTTTATATTGCTATGTCCTACGCACTATTCTTCAATAAAATGCATGACATCTCGCCTGTCCATTCTGGTTGTCCTGGTTGTCATATTCCTCGTTCGCGTCAGCCGGCTGTCACCGGCACCCACCTCGTCGTCCGTCGTCCTTCCTTTCCTCCGCAGCCTGTTCCCCCGGCGTCCCCTCCTTCGTCTTCTCTGCCTACCGTTCTTGAGCCTGAGTCTGACCGCACCCTTGCTGCTCACCCTACTGTCACGCATCTGCTAGCCACAGTTGTTATTGACCCGTCGTTTGAGTCTGCTGCTGCGTCTGCCTTAGTCACTCCGCTTGTTGACTTTGCTGCTGCCTGTCGTCTAGACTACGCCGCTAGTCTTGTTGCTGAGTTTGAGTCTGTCTGTCCTCCGTCCGTCGGGG